ACACACACACGCACATGAATTTTTATCATTTCCTTTTTTGCATCTTTTCCTCTCTCTGTATTTATTACTATAATTTTTCTAATACTATTCTACATACTTTCGCTTTTGTATCTTTTTCTCATATATTATAAAAAAAACTTTTTCTATATTACGAGTATCTCTCCAATTTTGTTGATATAATGTCTTCTTACTGGCTAAGTTAGCAGTACTTCTAAACGGCGAATGGGAATCATTCTAGATTTGAGAAATGTAGACTGAGATTTAATTAAGATAAAAATATTGACGATATCTTTTCGTTTCCATTTATAATTACGATCATGCTCTTTATTGGTAAAAACTCACTATTGTAAGAGTATATTAAAGATAGTGGAAGGTAAACTGTAAACTGTAAGAACTCGTATCTACATTAAAGATATCTAACTATCTTGGATCATCTATTAGTTATATAAATAAGTACCAATAAGATTTCAATCAAATATTCTCCGGAAACATTATCAAATTTATTTTAACAAAAAAGCCATTACAATAAATATTTAGAACGCGCTTTTATCGATAAAATTGAAGTCAATTCTTAAATGGTTCTTAAGTCGTTAAATCATTAAAAAAGTTCTTAAATAAAATTGTGAAATAGAGAGCAGTGAATGGAATAGAGAGAGGGAGAAAGAGAGGGAAAGGGGGAGAAGAGGGAGGGGAAGAGAGAGTGAGGGAGAAAGGAAAGAAAAGAGGGAGGAGGAAGAGGGAGGGAAGGGGAGGAGGGAGGGGAGAAGGGGGAGAGGGGGAAAAGAGAGAGAGAGAGTCTCAATTTGCGTTTAAATATAGAAGGCTTACATCACATTTATTTACTTATTTACTTAGATATTAAAAGATATAAAATAATTCTATTTAGCTCTATTTAGCTCTATTTATTTAATTCTTTGTAATTGTTTATACATTGACTTTGTCCCCTCTTTTAATATTTATTTGAGTGACCAACACATTTTACTTATTATTATTGTATTAGTCATATTCTTGATGAACTACGTTCAATACATGTAATTTACATATAAAACCCGTTTTATTCGCAATTAATTTTAATATGAAGTGTTACACACTTCAATGTATTTATAATTATTTTATCCAACGTTTCAAGACAGCTCCTTTCGTGTTTGGGATAAGTCACCGTCTTTCTTTCGAATTTTCTGCTTAAAAACAACATCAAATCTATAAATTTTATAGTAACTACTCTTTAGATATGCAAAGGAGAAATTAGTAATTATTGTATTTTTGAAGAGAATTCCAAAGCGAGTCGAAACATACATTACACAACGAATTGAAAGATTTATGGAATAAAGTTTTAAGATTAAACTTTGCGTACTAATTACCACGCTGGCTCTGATTCGTTCTAATTTTTGGATTCTTTTCTGGTTTTGAATTTGAGGGAGAGTTCATAAGAAGATTACTTTTTACTAGTTAGAGAAAACAATGGGTTTTCCAGTCTAATCGTTTCCCGAATATAGCAAGTTGATTCTTTTAAGATCAC